TTCAACTTGTTCTTGGGATTGTGCTATGGCAATGGTTGGTGTCGGTCTTCTCTGGGGTGCCACTAACCCATTGCTAAGACTGGGATCCAAATCAGCTGCAGAAACGCAAGAAATCGCAGGTTTGCTCTTTCACTTTTCAATATCCTGCGTTTGATTACATCCAATCGTATAAAAATGCTTAAAGCTCTGGCTGTTCGGAAACGTTAGAGGTTTATTAGAATAGTCCCTGAACGTTTCAACTTGAGCTTCTTCAGTGAGTTATAGACTTTTCACAAATATTCGATGTTTGATCATCATACATATTTTGGTTCAATGAGCTTCGTAGTCAGCTCTGTGATTTACCGTCAACAAAGAACCTGGAGTTTGTCTTCAGCGCATCCTTTTTTCTTCCATTTACAAGCGACTTTTCGTTAGTCATGAGCGATCCTTCATTGTGTCATTTTTTTTAGTTTGTGATGGCATAATGGTCTCGATGAGAGAGTACTGCCTTCAAGTTAAGCTTTTATTGTATAATAGATTTGTCGATAGAATAGAATGTTGGATCGCCGACATTTATGAATAGTGTGATTTGGCTTCATCAGCTGTGATTATTGATTGCTTCGGCTACGCCTCGTAGGCGTCTGCGGTCGAGTTAGCCCGTTACCCCAGCCTGCCGTTTTTTAAATTGAACTTACTGTAAATCGTTAGAGTTTGTTTATTGGCGTGATCAACAACGGTCTGTCTGACCAAAAATTTCAAGTTTTCTCTGTCATATCTAATTCTTGATTGGATTTTTGCCATAAATCTCCGTTTGCCAATAATTCGGTGCAGTGCAGTCATATCACCTGCAGCTTACACTTGAAGCTGGCTATCATGCTCGCGGAAATTCATAATGGGTTTTTTTTTACAAGGCGTAGTGCTCCTTAGGTGCAAAGTGACGCTGCGTGGATCCGCGCTCCTGTCGCCATCACCAAGATCTGTCCGGCGAAGAACAGAACTTTTTGAGTACATTCGAATTATTCGCCTTAACAGCTGTTCGAAGTCAACAACATTGCAGATCAGAGTCTCGTCAAACTTTGTTTTTTAATCATGCATATTTAGCAAGAGGTTTGTTTTAGATGTGCAAGCTGTTTCTGGGTTTTGGCGGAGGTTACTGGCTCCACTAATCGACCTAACGATGCTTCTTATGAACTGGAGATTCTCTATTCCATTCATAGTGAATCAGAGCGCTTCTGTAAGTTTTGTTTACTCCTTGTATCTTTTTGATTTTTAGTTAGCATTTCTTTAAGATCCTTTTCGTAATGCTCGTTTCTCGCTATCCCGTGTCCATTGTGGTTCCATGCGTAAATGCTTTACAATTCCTGTTCACTGCTGTTGTTGGATATCTTATTGGTTGGTTAGAATCAGTTAAAGTTTATTTAATCGTTCTCTTTCTCTTTTGCTCTTTTTTGTTGAGCAGTGAAATCGGGAGGCTTTGCTTGTGGCGTCACAGCTAGCATGCAAGGCAATCTTAATATCT